CCAGGAGCTGCACAGACCCTGACTGAGATGGGGCCTCCCACAGACACAGTGAAAGACTCTGCCCCCCAAGAGTTTCCAGTCTAAATAACAATGGGTGGGCAGATAAACTGAGGCATACAGAGGGACAGGGACTTGCAGCAAGTAAGTAAGTTGCAGAACTGGAAGTACAACCCAGGTGTCCTGACTGCCACCCTTGCTTACTCTAGTCCACCAGACCCACTCCCCTCCCGTTAGCCGAGAACAGAGCCCAGAAGTCCTGCTTGCCAGTCATGCTGCCTTGTTAAAGGGGGAAAATATCATTGCTGTCCAGGCCTCTTAACATTCAGGAGCTCTGAACAGTTAAAACATCTTTAATGAGCTCCATGCTTCATTATCCTCTTTATGGCTGTCTGGCGCCCGCTCCCCCTGCCCTGCAAAGAATGAAATGTACAGTTAATCTATATTCTCTGGTTTGTGTTTAATTCCTACTCTTGCACTGACACCCTCCCGGTTGCTCCATTCAAGGATTTTCCTCCATCCTCAGCTTCCCATGAATTCCCAGTCTCCACAGCTTGCGGGCTCCGTGTTTAATTAGCAGGCGTGGGTTGGATCAGCGATGCTCTGTCTGATGTCCTAGTGCTGCTGCAGAGAGAAGGCCCCGTCCTGTCACTCTAGCTCAAGGTCACCCTCAGGGCTGTGATGCGGCCAGGCAGATTTTGTATCTGTAATTCAGCATCTGGGTCTTAAATAGGCCGGGGAATGGAAGAAACAGAACTTGGGGGCCTGACTCCCAGCCTTGGCCCCTGCACTTACCGCTAGACTCCCCTTGTCCCCAGAGCTGGCAACAGAACCCAGGTGTCCTGGCTCTCACTCTAGCATGGTGACCACTCCACCCTTGTTTTCCAAGCACCGTGTCAGTGTTTGCCACCACAGTGCAGCATCTGCTCAGCAGGACACAGAGATACTGGCTCCTCATGTTCCTTTCTTCTGTGCTGCTGCTGGCGGCTGCTCTGCCTTCAGCGCTGGGCTCCTGGCCAACAGCCACACTCTCCAGCTGCCCAGCTCTGAGAGCAGGGCCACCACCAGCAGCAGCGCAGAAGTAAGGTTTGCAGTATTGTAACACCCCCCCCCCCCCCCCCCCGCCATAACCTTGCGACTCCCCAACAACTGGGTTGAGCATTGGCCTGCTAAACCCAGGGTTGTGAGTTCAATCCTTGTAGAGGCCATTTAGGGATCTGGGGCAAAAATTTGTCAGGGATGGTTCTTGGTCCTGCTGTGAAGGCAGGGGACTGGACTTGATGACCTTTCAAGGTTCCTTCCAGTGCTAGGAGATAGGCAATCTCCATTGTTTCTATTAAAGGCTCCCACCTTTTAGGTCAGGATCCTACTATTACAACACTGTGAAATTTCACGCTTGAATAGCTGAGATCATGAAACATACAATTTTGAAAATCCTACGACTGTGAAATGAACCAGAATGGCCTGTGAATTTGGTAGGGCCCTGCTCAGGAAGGAGCAGTCTGCACCTGCCATCTGGCACCCTGCACCTCAACTGACACAGGGTTCTCTCTCCTGCCCTTCAGTGAGATTCAGCCTCTACACCTAGTGCTGGGGGTGGGGTTCTTGATACTGCAGTCTGAGGAGTACCCACCGGCCATTAGGGATCAGGGGAGCTTATGCCGGACACCTGGCTCCCCTGAAATCTCCTGTCCTGCTGCTGCTCATGTGGAGGACACAGCCTGGGACCTTTTCCCAGCCTCTGCTGGGGGAGATGCCCTTATCATGGGGCCTGAGTTCCATCCTCAGCTCTGTGAGGCAGTGGAGTAAACGGAGTATGAACGGCTGCTGGCTGTTCATACTGTGCACTCTTCAGGGAGAGTCTGTGCAGCACCTGGCACAGTGGAGCCCCGATCTCATTCAGGCTTGTGCAGCGCCTGGCACAACGGGGTCCCTGATCTCAGCCAGCAATGGAGGTTTCAGTTAGGCATTACCATAACGCGTCAGGAGGGCCCCACAGAACGTGGTACACCCTTCCCAGGGCATTGTCAGTGGCAGCCTCAGCCTGTTCCTCGCTCCGTGGCAGTGGCCGCGTTCCCCGGAGAACACCATGTTTATTTCTGATTGAAGAGGGAAGGGAGGAGGACTCTGAAGCGGTGCTTATTGCCAGGCTGAAATTACCCACTTATCCCAGGGCCCTTGGCTGAGCGCTCTGCTTCCATTACGGCTAGTTAATATCTATCCTGCAAGGAACCGTTCATTCAGAGAGGCAGGCCTGCTAACTTAGCCTCCGTGCTGCCGGAGAAGCCTTTGTAACCTTACGTGGGTAGAGAGGTTAGCCAATCCCACTGTGGCTTAATGGCTGGAGCTCTGTGCTGGCAGGGAAGAGACCTGAGTGCTAATCCTGCCTCCCCTGAGGTGCTGATTCCCCTCCCAGGCTTAGACTGCAGGCTCTCTGGGCCAGGGAGCTCTTCTCGCAGGCCGACTCACAGCCTCCACTGGAACAGTCAGCGTAACGAAGGGTTGTGAGGCAGGATAGCCAATCCCACTGTGGCTTAATGGCTGGAGCTCTGTGCTGGCAGGGAAGAGACCTGAGTGCTAATCCTGCCTCCCCTGAGGTGCTGATTCCCCTCCCAGGCTTAGACTGCAGGCTCTCTGGGCCAGGGAGCTCTTCTCGCAGGCCGACTCACAGCCTCCACTGGAACAGTCAGCGTAACGAAGGGTTGTGAGGCAGGATTGGCAGCACCCCTGGGCACAGGCTGTGCAGTAGCGGCACGGCTGCGCAGCTCCCTCCCATCCATCCGGATGGCGTGCGGTGGAAGTGTCTCCTTTTGAGCTCCTGCTGCGAGCCCCTCTCCTGGTTCCGAAGGGGGCTCTGGTAGCGTGCCTGCCACTTGAATGCCCTTCCAGCGGCAGCTAGTTACGTGCCAGTGCTCCAGACTTCCCCTGTTACATATTTTGCCCTGTCCCCCGACATCCCTGGATTTAACAGAGCGTACCTTTGTCTGCACATCGCCTGCTGGGATGGAGGACGCAGCAGCTGGCAGAGAAAGTGCTGCAGTTGCTGCAGTCACTCTAGACGCCAGTGCTAAGGGGGAGAGTGACAGAGAGAGAAATTGTCTTTCCTCCCATCCCCCTCTGTTTACACAGCAACATGAGCCCCTGTCCTGGGCCTGCCTGGCTGTGGTCAGGCCACAGGGATTCCGAGCTGTCCCTGGCAGCAGCCGGGAATCTCCAAGCACCTGGGGTCCCTGGCAGATGCAGGGAAAGAACCGGTTCTTGCAAGCGGCTTGGGTTGAGTTCAGCAGCTGGCTCTCTGCAGGGCGCCGTACGGGAAAGGGAAGCTGAGCTGAGGCAAGGCTGAGAGGCCCAGGAACTGGCAGATTGGTGGGGAACAGGGAGTGTGGGGAATGGCTTGGGGATGGAAAGGCTCCCAAGCCTGTGTCCTAAAGAAGGCCTGGGCCACTGGGCAGAGGGTGGGGAGGGGGGTCTCAGCAAGAGGGCCAGGTGGGGGTATCAAGGAAGGAGGGAGAGATTGGGGCAGAATCTGTTGCCTCTGGTTTCACTGCAGCAAACACATCCCAGATGCCCAGTGTTTGGCTCGCTGGGGTAGCTGAGTGGATATCAGAAGTGATGCTGCCATCTACTCCACGTCTGCTCCCACCTCCAACCCTGATCAGAGCAACTGGCCCGTCTAGCACGGCATCCCATCCTCCTGCCTGTGATCAGCCCCGTGACCCATCTAGCTTGGTAGCCCTTACAGACCCGCTGTGGCTGTATCCTCTCCCCAGCAGGGACCAAGTCTCATTGAAGCAGGAAAGCTGCTCCCAAGTATTGGGCTGGGGGTCAAGACACATCTGTCTTCTAATCCCAGCTCTGCTATTGGCCTTTCCCCTCTGCACCCCAGTTCTCCAGCCCACTGTTTAGACCCTCAGCTCTTTGGGGCAGGGAGCATATCTCTGGGCAATGCCCAGCCCCCCACTCTGTCCCTCTGGGTCATGGCGTGGAGGTTGGGTGGTGGCCCCAATTCCCAGATGAGTTAATATGAAAGACACATCTGTCTTCTAATCCCAGCTCTGCTATTGGCCTTTCCCCTCTGCACCCCAGTTCTCCAGCCCACTGTTTAGACCCTCAGCTCTTTGGGGCAGGGAGCATATCTCTGGGCAATGCCCAGCCCCCCACTCTGTCCCTCTGGGTCATGGCGTGGAGGTTGGGTGGTGGCCCCAATTCCCAGATGAGTTAATATGACCAGCTCAAGCTTTTCCTCCTGCCCCAGACTCTGCTCAGCTGTTCCCTGGCAGGCTGCTGTGTATGAATGTTACATTACGGCTAATCACGCCAGCTACATTAGTGTCACCTCCCGGCATCTGAAACCTCCCTGCGCAGCATCTTGTGGAGTCGAGTGCTTTGGTTGGGAGGGCTGGGATTTAATTAAGAGCCGTATCCGAACGATGCCTGATTGCACTCAACCAGGATTCAGCTGCGAGCCAGCCAGGCCGCCCTGAGAAGGTGTCACGTGCTAACTGCCAGGGACAGAACGAGGCCACAACACCGCTGACCCGTCTGCTCGCTTGCCCCTGCAGTGCCCTTCCTCACCCGCCTCCTGGGCATGGGATCCTCAGCACCATCAGCCTCACTTGGTTGATCAGGATGTTGCCACTTACATCCCCGGGGGCAATTCCCATCTCCCATCAGAACCCAGGAATTCTAGCTTCCAGCCCTCCTCTGCCCACTAGACCCCAGTCCCCGCACAGAGCCAGAGTCCTTACTTTCAACCTCCCCCACTCCGACTCTAACTCCTAGACTCCACTCCCCTTCCAGCATCAGAAATGGTTCTCTGGGGCCCAGAGTCCCAGTCACCCTGCTGTAACTACTAGACCCACTCCCCTTCCAGAGTCAAGAATAGCACACGGCAGCCTTGTCTCCCAGACCTGTGCGCTAAGCCAGACCACGGCAGCTCTGTCTGCTGCTAAGGGACACAGCTGGAATGCTCAGACCCTCATGGACCCCTCCTGTCCTTGCAGGTGGGCTATGAAAATGCCGGCACGGTGGAGTTCCTGGTAGATAAGCATGGCAAACACTACTTCATTGAAGTGAATTCCCGGCTTCAAGTGGAGCACACGGTGACAGAAGAGATCACAGAGTAAGTGACGCCTCTTGCTCCCCTGTCTGCAGTGGTGGGGCACCTGCCTAGGCATCTAAACGGGGATAAGAAGTAGGAAGGTGGTATTAGCTCTGTATATGGCACCAGTCAAATGGACTGTCTAGTGGAGAACCATCATCAAGTGGGGATATTTCGAGTAGAGGTACATGGGGATCTGACAGGTAGACACTGAATTGTGCATTGTTAGGGGCCAGAGGGAACATCTAAGAGAGACAATTATGGGTCACTTCCTTTCTTTTGGAGTGATCACCTCAGGCTCGCTGCAGACTCAGGCAGAGTTGCTGCTTTGGTTTATGTGCCTGTCACATTTGGAAGGTTTGTCTGGGACCATAAGCCAGGCTGACTACTTTTTTTTATAACAGAAGCTGTGACTCTGTGGCATAACTCCGGGAAGGTCACTCTGGCCTTCCTCCCTCAGCTCTGCAGCAGGATATCTATGCAGCAGCTTGCAGTCAGGGCCAAGACCCCTCTCCTGCCCCACACAGCTGAGGAGTCTTGCAAATAAATAGGACAAAAAAAGTGGGCTATATACGAGCTTGGTAGTCAGATGACAGATGTGAAGGGGTGCTGGTCAGTGTTTTCTCTATTTTCCCCCATCTGTGAGTGGAATAAATTTTGTTATGTGCATCAATAGATGTGCACCACCATTAGAAACACATGCTGCCAGCTATGAGCGCCGCAGGTGCTCTGCTAATCAGCTGAACAGCATTTGACTCTCCCCTGGGTGGCTGCTTAAGCCCTCAGCTTACAGGGAACACTGGTGCCGGGGCACCTGGCAAAAGCAGAGGAACATGGGCTGTGCCAAGCATGGAGGCATGGCCCAGCCTGTGGGAGAGGGAATGAAAGGAGGCAGTGGCGTAGTGAGAGGGGACTGGGGGCGCCACGCTAGGGGAGCACCAATTTAGCTGCCAAAAGTTGTGGTGGTGTTTGCTTTTTTATGATGATTTCCTATTTTGTATGTATTCCAACAGTCGACTGTGAAAAGGTGTCAGCAAAACCTTCAAAAAGTGAACAGGATGATAGTTATGTTATACTGCAAATGTCGAGGTTACACTGCATGTGTTTTAGCTCGAATGGCGGCAGGAATATGCTCCACCCAATCACCTCAGTTCGCGTGCATTTGGAAGTAATCCAAAAAAAGTGAACAATGTAAATTTTGGTAGCTAAATTGGCGCCTCCCTAGCGTGGTGCCCGGGGGGCAACTCCCCCCCCCCTTGCTATGCCACTAGGAGGAGAAGGGAGGGGGTGGCAGGGTGTGAGAAGGTGGTGTGTGGTGGGATGGGGAAGGAGGTGTCTTGAATCCAAATGCTGCTTGCTTCCCTATCTCAGACCCATGTGCCCATCTAGCTCGGCCTCCCATCCTGCTACCCCAGATCAGAGTAATGGGCCCAGCTAGCCACGTATGCCCCAGCACTTCTCTTTTCCTTTGGTGCAGGGCGCTTGTTGGTCTGCGTTTGGGCAGCACCTGGCACCGTGGGTCCCGGCTCATGCCCTAGGTATAACGTAAGCCACACTTCATCAGAGGAAAAGCTGGGTAGGCTAGAGTAGCCCTGAGCTGTGGCTCATAGCCCGGTGTAATACGCGCCGGAGAGCTGAGTATCTGCAGAGCTGAGACCATATCTGGTTGCTGTGGTATGAGAAGGCAGCTCCGCAGGGCATTGAATGGTGGATGTTGCATTTGCTGTTAGCTGCAGACCTAGCCTTTGAGCTGACCTCACCGCATGCACCTCCCCGGAGCTGGGGCATGTTTTCACACCCAGCTTACGACACAGCACTCTAGAGGAGCAGTAGGAACTAGGAATGTAAAATCCCAATGAATCAATTAAATGATTAACCTACTAAACAGAGTTGGTTACCCTAACATTTAACCGGTTAACCAACTAAGCAGGGTTGGGGCTGCTTCTGCTGCTGCTGGCAGGCTCCCATTCTCAGTGCTGGCTGTGATCAGAACTGGTTAACTGGTACCTGGTAAGCATCATGCAGTAAGGGTGATGCTTACCGGGTAACTGGTTAACCGGTTACCAGTTCACATCCTGAGTGGGAACCCATGAACGGTGCTGGGAAGGGAAGAAGGAAATCCTTCCCCCCGGCTTGGTTGGGTTTTAGCAGAACTGCCACCACCAACATCGGAGGCTCTCGGGCGTTCCACATTCTCATGTCAGATCATCTTGAAAATCATCAGGTTGGTGTAGAAAAAAATCAGAAATCCACTGAAATAGCATCACGTTGGCTTTAAAAAGCACCAACATTGGCTTAAACAATATGCGCTTATTCTTTAAAATTATGAAATTTCTCCCTATCTGGGAGGGTTAGAAAATTACTTCAAAAAAGGAAAAAAATGAGTTTCTCACATATTCACGACTCCAGGAGCTGTGCTTTACGGAAAGCACTAAATATCGGGAGACTCAACACTGTGGGTGCCTGAGTCATGCTATGTGCTGAAATTGTGATTCCCTGATGAATTATTGTTTCTATAGAAGGTTTGCCCACGTTTGATTTGAATGTTTAATTTTTTATATTGACAGATAATAGTGATGTTTATTTTAAAGCTTTGTACAATTTGTATCGATTTAAATGTTCACAGCTGCAGCAAATTCTGGGGGGTGTCAAAGAATGGGGGAGAGAGAGGGTGATTACTGAGTGACAGTAGATGTTGAGATTCAAAAAGTTAACGTTTTACAGCCATTAAAACACATCGTATCTCCAAATACACAAAGTAAATCCCCAGAAATCACCCTGGAGTGCATTTCCAAGCAGCATTTTTCTTGCATTGCCCATCTGTACGTTTTGGCTATTGCAACAGGAAGTGTTTTTGCATCGGTGTGTGTGATAAAACCACCAACATTTACTGATTACAGATCTCAGCCTTTCAAGCCTATTTAGATGATGGTAGCAATCGGAAGGTCCAAATGAGACACATACACCCTGTTGTGCTTGTGCTGTACACGCTCCCCTGACTATAGCTGGGGCCCAGAACACTGCACAAGTGATTGCTCCAAACCTGTACATAAATAATGGATGCTAAATCACTCCAGCGTGGAAGTAGGATGGCCCAGTGGTTAGGACACGTGCTGAGGACTTGAGAGACTACGGTTCACTCCCTGCTTTACTCCAGACACGGACATGTCACCCAGCCTCTGGGTGCCTCATTTGACCTATTATATAACAGAGCTCTCTGCTCTGCCCTGCCCTTTTGGGCTAATACATCACTGCTCGGGAGGCACTCAGACAGTGTAGCGTGTAAGTGCCAGCAATGGACCCCACCAGATCTGAGACCAGCTGCATGGTTATGGAAACCGCCTCCCACTCAGGTGCTGCCTAATTCTCTGCCAGTCAGCACACACTCTGCTGGTGCCACACCACAGCTTACAGGCAGCTCAGAGCTTCACAGCCAAGAAGCGGGATTCTCACACTGTATTTCCTCCTTAATTTGCCAGTAGGGCCTGATCCTGCAGGTGTGCTCTGAGCATGCTCAGGATCAGGCCCTGTGCAAAGGAAAGCATGTGTGTAAGTCTGGGCCAGGAATGTACCTGGGCTGTGAGAGATGCAGGTTTGAATTCCAACTCTGCCTGAGCCCAAGCAAGGACTCAGCTGCAACTTTCTACAGCCCTGGGCAGAGCTCTGAATGCTGAGCTCTTGGCCTTTTGAGACTTGCCCTGTGAAAGGGTTGTCCTGTCTCGGACAGCTAACTCCAGGAGAGGGTTCGCAGGTGAGGTGCTGAGTCCTGCCCTTTCCCTCTGCATTTTACTCCTGCCGAGCTGAGCTGGCTCCCTGCACAACTGCTGGCTTCTGAGCCTCCTTTCCTTCCTTGACTCCTTACTCGGACCCAAGAGTTCCACTGGGCAGCAACCCAGCAGCCCTTAGTGTAGGCGCTGCAGCCTGACACTCTGTGAATCTAGCCCTCCTCTTGCTCCAGGGTTTGTGACGGAGCAGGGGCTTGAACCCAAGTCACCCTGAACTGCTGCACCCGTGAAATGGGTGAAAATGAGGCCAGGATAATTTGTGGCCTCCTGGGTGGTGAATGTAGCTCCAGGTGACTCAGGCTGAACAGCCACTGAGTGCAGCAGCCTGTCTCCGCCGGTGCCCAGCACTAGATGGCATGTGTTAGACACACACCAGATACTGGACTTAATTCAGGCGGAGCTGGAAGAAATGGAATGGCCTCGGATAGACAGCAGGCCAGACCAATGCTCGGGGGAGCTGGAAGAAATGGAATGGCCTGGGATAGACAGCAGGCCAGACCAATGCTCGGAGGTACCTTCCGACCTTACAATCTGTGGATCTGTACTTCACAGGAGTGCGCTTCCAAGCCTTTTTCCAACTTTGGGTTTCTTGGGAAGCCGGGCTCATTTGAGCAAGGTGCATTTTCCTGCAGCTGGAGGCCAGGTTGTGTGTTCTGGGACAAGAAATATCAGCTGCACCTACTGGGGGTGGGTATGGGGGTGTGGGCAGGGCTGTGTCTGGGGCTCTGGAAAGGAGTCAGATCCTGGTGAAAACCAGCTGTGAGCTCCCAGTGGGAATGGGGGCCAAGAGGAAATGCAGTTTGGGGTGGATCCGGGGGCAGCACTGAGTAGGAGCAGGGAGGGGGCCTCATGGCACCAGTGACTGGGATGCAGCATTGCAGAGAAAGAAGCATAAGAGGGATCAGAGGGCTGGAAAACTCTGAGACTTCTTAGCTATTTCTGCTGAATAAAACAAGGCTGGCTGGCCTACGAAGCTCCCTGTTACAGTCTCATAGACCTGGGGAGGGTGGCAGCTCTGGACTGCAGCTGTGGGGAGTGGCTCGAACACTCTGCCCATTTTGGAAGGGCTGGATGCTACTGCCAGTTGGCTGGTCCAAGTCATCGCTCCTTCCTGGTCTCAGCATCTCTTTGTCGCACAGTGGTAACGGCAGCACATCTCACTCTTAGGGAGGGATCCCATATGTCTCCCACCCCAGAGTACCCTGCATCTCAGCCCCTGGCGAGAAGTCCTGTACA